TGGTGAGTGGTGGCGGGTTGCGGTGCGGAGGAATATGTGAACGAGAGAAGAAATGTGGTCCAAAATAGCTCTCTAGCTAAGCAGCCACTTTGGATGAGACCGGAGGGTGGCGGAGAAAAAACTATGCTCAGGCATGCATGTGCAAGGATAAATTGACAAGAGTCGGGCCGGAGCGCGTCAGGCTAGCCATCGCCTGCCCCGCCAAGCTTCTGCCGCCGCTAGAGAGGCTTCAGCCGTGGCGAGAATCTCCAAGATCAAGTGTGATTGTGGGTCTGAGATGTGTATAGGGTCAAAGGTAGCCGGCACCAGGAGCGGATAGCTATTCGGCGATGCGCTGTGTGAGGATCCGCATGGAGGCCGGTACGTCATGTGCAGAGCAGAGCAGCGCAGCTTGTGAGCGAGCTGGTGCTGGGTTCTCGAGCTCAATCGATGTGGTTCAAGAATGGGTGCAAAAAATTCGTGGGTTGGGTTTGGACGGAAATCGTTCGTGGCGTGTCGTCAGAAGGTGGTGAGGGTGGAGGGGAAGGAGAGGCTTTGCTGGTGGGGCTTGTAAGGAGGGGGGAGGGGAGTGAGGAGAAAGACACCTCTCTACGCTTCCAAGAAGACTTTCCCTCCCCCACCTACCGCCGCACATACTGTGCGTGAGTAAGCAGAAGCTTTCCCGAGAGCGTGCGTGTGAGCTGCGTCGGTGGTGAGATCATGGCGTTGCTGTCGTCGTCCGACGACGAGAAGGAGCTGCTGAACCAGGCGCATCAGCTTGTGCGGGCAGGCGCTTCGTACCGGTTTGTGACAAGGGACCTTACGCTGTGGAAGGCGCATCCGTCGCTGACGGCTGTGTACCGGCTGGGCCGCAAGGTCGGCTCGGGCACCTTTGGCGTTGTGTACACTGCGACGCATCGGGCGTCAGGGATCAACGTGGCACTAAAGCACTTCAAGAGCTCCAAGTGGTCCGACCGCGAGCGTGACTCGCTGCTGGGCAAGAAGACGCTGCCTTCCGTTCTTGTGCGCGAGCTGGAGTTTTTGATCGAGGCACAGTCGCCCAACGTGCTGGGCCTCTACGACGTGCTGGTCCCGCTCAAGCCGGCGGCTGTGCCGGGCGGTCTCCCTCCGGCCAATGTATTTATGGCGTGCGAGCTGGCCATGTTCGATCTCGAGTCGTTCCGCACCACGTTCTCACTCAACTCGCCTGTGCGCGCGTTGCTCTCCCAGTCTGTAGTGGAGGACACCATCCGCGGGATAGTCTACGCTCTGGCGTGTGCGCTGAGCACGTGCCACGAGCGGCGGATTGTGCACTGCGACATCAAGCCGGCCAACGCGCTGGCCTTTGCTTCGGGCGGGGTCAAGGTCTCGGACTTTGGCCTTGCCAAGCGTATCCCGATTGCGCATGGATACGACGTGTACGATCGCGCGCGCCAGCGGCTTGTCTCGCTCTGGTACCGCGCGCCGGAGCTTGTCCTCCGCTTCCAGCACTACACTCCCAAGATCGACGTGTGGGCCCTTGGGTGTACCATGGCGCAGCTCATTCTGGGCACGCCGCTCTTCCGGGCCAAGACTGAGGAGGTTCTCATCTCGAACATTGTCGACATTCTCGGTACGCCCGACACTTCCGACTGGCCCGACCTTGTCAAGCTGCCGTGGACCGCGTCGGAGGCCTCTCTCATCTACGCGCCGCTGCTGAGGCTCCAGCCGATGCACTCGATGCGACCGCTGCCGTCGTGCCTGTGGCGCAAGATCAAGCCGCACGCCGGCCGCCTCGAATTTGACGTCCTGGAGGCCATGCTCACGTACAACCCCGAGTCGCGGATCTCCGCCAACGAACTCAAGAAGCATGTTTACTTTGCCGATGTCCGAACGCATCCTGAAAAGTACCGCCGCCTGCTGAGCCAGGTTTTTGCCGCCATCGCCTCGCCGACCTCGTTTGAGCTCGCGGCCTCGCGCTCCTCCCACCGCCGCACCTCGGAGTTTGACATGCTCCTCGTCTCGCAGAAGTCGGCTACGGCGACGTCGTCAAAGCGCAAGCGCTCGTCCTCGTCGACATCCCTCTCCTCCGCCGCCATGCGCTCCCGTTCTCGCATGCGCAAGTCGTCACGCGAGGTCATTGTCGTCTCGTCGTCGTCCGACAGGAAGCGCGGCGCCCGCAGCTCGCGCGACCTCGATCAGCTCGAGGACCCGAACGCGTCTGAGGAGACCGCCACACACTCGCGCCCCTCCAAGAAGCCTCGCACGCTCTCGGGCGTGGCTCGATGATGTACCCTCCTCCACGTTTGTATGGCGTGCCAGCATTGAACTCGCAGCCAGCTTGTGGTGCTGATTCGCTAGCTTGTGCCAGTCTCGGCTACCTGTCTCGCTTGCCATGCCCGTCTACACCCTCTTCATCTTTGACCGCAAGGGCACCTGCCTGTACTACACCGACTGGGGCCGCAGCAGACCACCGACACACAACGACCCAGAGCAGGAACAGAAGCTCCTCTATGGCCTCCTCTTCTCCATGAAGATGTTCATGAAGCAGATATCTCCCGATGAGTATGTCATGACCGGACGCAGTGGCCAGCTCCGGCGCCTCCCCCTCTCCTTCCCGTCCCCTCCAAGCAACCTCCCTTCTCCCTCTCTCCTCCCCTCCCCTCCTCCTCCCCCCCTCAATATCTCCCACCTCTCCTCCCCCTCACTCCCCTCCTCCTTCTCCTCCTTGCAGCTCGGGCGACTTTCGGTACCTGCGAACGTCGGCGTTCAAGCTCCACTTCTTCGGCACGCTTTCTGGTCTCCGCTTTGCGCTCTTTACCCATCCGTCTGCGGCAAACCAGAGTGAAGCGCTGGAGCATCTGTATGCAGAGGTCTACGTCCCGTACGTCGCCAAGAATCCGCTGGTGGAGAAGGGCGAGGTCATCACCAACGAGGCCTTTGTCGAGGCCGTGGACGACTACATCACATCGCTCCCGGTCTTTGCCGAGTAGTTAGTCTGATCTGCTCTCCGCCATCAGTCGCTGCCCCCCTACCCCTCCTCTCCCCCGCTCACCACCGATCACGTTCACTCATGGCCTGATTGCAGTCGTGCTCTGCCGGCCAGCTGCTGCCGTCCACCGCTCGAGTCGCACCGAACCCGCTCCTTCTCTGTTGCTCAACAACCTCCCACCCTTCGCCTCCCACCTTACCAATCACACACATCTCTTGCCCATCATGGTATGTACACCATCTCCTCTGACACCACACCCTCTCCTATTACTCCTTCCCCTTACCCTCCCCCCCCCTTGTAGCTATCGATGGCCCCCCCCCCCTCCCTTGGCATGGCAACGTTCCATCCAGCATCCTGGCAGGAGGCCACAGGCAGGGGGAAGCACGAGGGCGAGCAGGATAGATCCAGTCGTGGTGCAGAGAGAGGAGATGAGGAGGAAGATGCTGGGATAGAGTACAGCATGCACGGCTTGGTACCTTGAGAGCAGATGACTCACCATGGCTTGCGGCGAGGGGGGATGCACAGCCCAAGGCTAAGCGGCGTGGCAAGCTCGCCACCATCAAACGGCGTATTGGCCCGCGGGATGCACGGCTGTAGGTGGCAAGCAGAAGAGGTGGGAGGGGGGGGAGGGGGGGAGGCAGGGAGGGATGAGAGGTCGGGAGGTTGGCGGCGGGTGCTCACATGGTTGGAGTCTGTGATGAGTAGGAAGAAGAACCAGGAGAAGCTGGAGAAGAAGATCAAGGCGAGCAAGGGTGACGATGGAGCGCCGCTTGTGAAGAACGCGCCCAAGATGTCGTCTGCTCTGTTCTTCTCGTTCAACCAGCAGCTCAAGCCGCCGTACTCGATTCTGCTGGATACCAACATGCTCGCGCACTCGGTCCACACCAAGCTCGACATCATCCAGGGCATGATGGACTGTCTGCATGCCAAGGTGGTGCCCATGATCACCGACTGCGTCATGGCAGAGCTCGAGAAGCTCGGCCCCAAGTACCGGGTGGCGCTTCGGCTGGCCAAGGATCCCCGGTTCAAGCGTCTTGTGTGCGACCACAAGGGCACGTACGCTGACGACTGCCTTGTCCGCCGCGTCATGGCCCACAAGTGCTACCTCGTTGCCACCCAAGATCGCGACCTCAAGCGACGCATCCGCAAGATCCCTGGTGTGCCTATCATCTACATCTCGCGCCGTAAGTACTGTGTCGAGCGCATGCCCGACGCCTTTGGCGACTTTGGCTTCTGATGGCGAGTCGGCAAGTTAAAGGCTTTGCGGGCACCACGAGCGCTGGTGCGGACCTCGTTGTGGCTGGCTGCGCAGCCGCTCGGATGGAGACGAGGGGGGGGGAGGGGGGGAGTTGTTCATTTTCAGCACATGCACTTGAGCCCACGGCCGCCGGCATCGCCGTCGGTCTCGGCCTTGGGGCGGATGGGCGGCTTTTTGGTTGTGCCGCCAAGAATGGCCAGGTTGTCGACAAGGCCATCAACAAGCGACGTAAAGGTCTCGTCAATGCCGATGTCGTTGCGCGCCGAGGCCTCCAGGTATGTCATGCCACGCGACGTGGCGTACGCCGAAGCCTCGGCGGCGTCGACCACGCGCGCGTCCTCCATGTCGGCCTTGTTGCCGACAAGCACCAGCGTGGCGTACGGATCAGCATACGCCTGGACCTCCTTGAGCCACACGCTCTCGATGGCCTCAAACGACTCGCGGTTGGTGATGTCAAAGACAAGGACGACGCCGTGGGCACCGCGGTAGAATGTCCGCGTGATCGAACGGAACCGCTCCTGCCCGGCCGTGTCCCAAATCTGCAGCTTGACCTTCTTGCCACGGGCCTCCATGTTGGAGAACTTAAAGTCGACGCCGATGGTCGAGATGTAGTGCTCTGAGAACACGTTGTCTGTGTACCGCAGGAGCATGTTGGACTTGCCCACGCCCGAGTCGCCCACGATGAGCACCGGTAGAGAAGGTCGTACGCCCGCGGCGGAAGCATCGATGTCGCTGCCATGGTCGGTGAAATCTGAAGAGAGTTGAGAACAGTCAAGGTCAGTCTTGATCCGTGCCCGGTGTGTGTGTGTGTGCGGGAATGTGTGCGTGTCTTGTGCTTGGATGCCTGGCTTGGAAGCTGCGCCCGTGCAGACCGCCGTTTTGTGGCAAACTGCCGAAAGGTTGTTCCACGGCGCGGCTTCCATTTTCCGCTCGAATCACGTCATGCGCTCACGCCGATCCTGTGTTCCACAGTCACCACCAGGCCATCGCGGGCCCACTCGAGCTTGTCGTGAGGGTAGCCCTTGGGATGCGAGACAATCCGGGTGCCCGAGCTGTCAACCCGGTCGTAGAACCAGTGGAGATGGCCGTATGCCCAGAGCGAGAGAGCATCGTGCTGCAGCAGTTCGCTCTGGTCCGAGCCCATCGCACCCGTCAGGTTCGAGCCGTAAAAGTCGATGTTGGAGTAGCCGGCGGCAATGGTTGGCGCGTGGTGGCTAAGAACCACAAGCGTCTGGTCCGCGGCGGCGGCGGCGGCTGCCTCGGCAGCCACAAACGCGACGGCGGTGGCGTGCCACTCGTTCGTCTCGCGCACCGTCAGTCGCGCCTCATCGCTGATCCAGATCCGCCGGTAGTCGTTCATCCGCATTTGCACCGCGTCGATGTCAGCGTCCGGGACGCACCCCCAAAGCGTGGTGCCTGCAATGCGGAAAACCCCTAGATCAAGCACCGCGTTGTCCAGAAAGTGCAGATTGTCAGCCTCGCCCGCGAGCGCGGTCATGCTTGCCAGGATCTGCGACACACTTTGCTTTGGACATGCCCCGGTCTTGTCGGCGTAGTACTCGTGGTTGCCAGCAAGGAGAATGACGTGCTCGAACCGAGTCGTCTGCTCCAACACAAACTCACGGTACTTGTCCTGGTACACAAGCCCGATGTCGCCGAGCAGTGCCAGGACCGGTGCGGCCGGAATCAGAAGCTCGCGCCACTCATCAAAGAACTCGGTGTGGACGTCGGAGATGAGCTGGATTCGCAGCGCAGTGTCGGGGGTGCAGCCGGCGGCTCTGTGCATAGCATCGTCGGCTTCGACGCGCGCCAGCTGCGCAGCTGTCATTGCGCCGGCAACCGTTGCTCGCAGCGCCGCGTTGTCACCGCAAAGAGTGAGAAGTGACTCGCCGGCTGCAGTTCGCATGCCAAGAGCAAGATCAGCCTCGGGCCGCTCGGCAACAGCCGCCAGCAGCAGGTTCACCATGTCGGCCGCCCCTGACGAGACCGCCATCGCCAGCGGGGTGACTCCATCGCAGCGCGCCGCATCGAGGGCTGGCTTGAGCTGGAGGACAGCCTGGACCAGACTGAGCGAGCCAGAGCTGACGGCGGCATGAAGCAGCGAGGTGCCACGCGAGTCACCAGATGCGTTGGCCACGTCGCCGCCCTCGACAATGGTTGAGCACGCCTCGCGATGGCTCGCCACAAACGCCAGCAGCTCATCGGCATACCGCCACTGTGAGGCAACGGCAGCAAAGACAGCCGACGCGCCGTCCTTGTCCTTGTCGGAAAGCACAGCTCCGCCAGCCACCATCAACGCCAGCCAACTTGCGAGCGGCGGAGCGGTGACGCCGTCGAGCACCGCGTCCGACGCCACCATTCGGTGTAACAGCGATCGCTGCTCGCCGTCCTTGAGATACTTGAGTGACTTTCCATCGCCTTTGGTCGCGGCCTCTAGCATAGCATGCGCCAGCGAGTACGCGCCTGCCTCCCAGGCCACAAAGATGAGCGGAGTGCCCGACGGGAGGTAGGCTGTCGGCGGGGCACCGGCGTCGATGAGTGCTGCAACGACGTCAGCAGCACCGGCAGCGACCGCAAACGCCAGCGCCGATCCCGATCCAAAGTTGTCGGATCCACGACCCGCCAGCTCAACCACTGCTGTCGCCTTGACAAACGGCGTGGCATTGACCGTCTCCAGGTAGCCAACGAGCTCGTCGGCCGAGTCGTCGGCGCAGGCGGCGACGAGCAAGTCGGCCGCCAGGGCCATGTCGACCTCAGGCTTGCTCTTGCTCCCCTTCCCGCCCATGGAATGTATCCTCAGCCGCGGCCGTGGGTGCGGGTGTGGCGGTGACGGTGATGGGTTGATGGTCAGGTGTTGGTCTTGCCCCCCCCCCCCCCCCCCCCCAACCCAGGCGGCGAATGGAAGCGGTCAGAGGTTTGGCCGTGGGCAGGCCTGGCAGAGGTCATGAAGCCTTCCCAACCACGCGCCCTTATCCGACCATATCCTCCCGATCCTCCCCCTCCCTCGCTCCCCTTCTGCAAATCCGATCCCAGTCCCAGTCTTACCCGTGCCCCTCCCCCTCCCCCCCTCCACCCCCCCCCCCCACCTCCGCTAGCCCTTGCCCCAGCCCTCGCCCTTGCCCCTGCCACTGTTCCGATCCGATTCCGAACTCGTCCCACCACACACCCCTCCCCAGACCAACATGGCAGAGGAGACGAGGTCGTTTGACGCAGGAGCACAGTCGGTGGCGAGTGTGACAGCGTCGGCACAGCGCGTCATGGCCAAGGCCGAGCATGTGGCCATTGCCGACGGCCCGCTGGCTGCGTTGGCAGACCGGCTCAATGAGGCGTATCCGGCAGACGCCGGCACGGCGCCGTACTACAAGACCAAGCCTGATGGCCCGGTGCTGCCCATGTGGGAGGCTGACGAGTACCACTTTCGCGACCTGGACGCGCCTGAGCTGACAGCGCAGTATGTCCTCGTCCTCGATGCCCTCAACTTTTGCTTCTGGCCGGCCGACGAGCCCGGGTGGGAGTACGATCGCCTGGCGGGCTCCATCAAGACCGTCGCTGTGGAGAGCGGCATGGCCGGCCTGAGCGCCGACGCGCTGGCTGCTCTCACTGAAGCTGACCTCACCCAATGGTTCGGCGGCTCGCCGCCGCCGCGCTGCGCCCAGCGGGTCCGCCTCCTCAACGAGGTCGGGCGGGTCCTCGCCGCCCACTTTGACGGCTCGGCCGCCAAGCTCATCGCCTCGGCCGGCGGCTCGGCTGTCGAGCTCGTGGCCCGCATGGTCGCCTTCTTCCCGGGCTTCCGCGACGAGACCACTTTTGACGGCGACCAGGTCTTCTTCTACAAGCGGGCACAGATCTTTGTTGGCGACGTGTGGGGCGCGTTTGGCGGCGAGGGCCTCGGCGCCTTCCGCGACATCGACCAGCTCACTATGTTTGCCGACTACCGCATCCCACAGCTCCTGCGCCACCTCGGGATTCTGGTCTACTCGCCCGAGCTCGCTGCTCTTGTCGACTCGCTCGCGGTCCTGCCCGTCGGCTCGGTCCACGAGGTCGAGATCCGCGCAGCCACCATTGTCGCCGTCAACCAGCTGCGCAAGCTCCTGCACGCGAGCTGGACCACCGTTCAGCTCGATTGGTGGCTGTGGGAGGAGGGCGAGGCTCATCGTGAGAGCATCGGTCCGCACCACCGCGTCCTCACTACCTTCTACTAACATACACGCCACTGCCGCAAGGTCTCAGTACTGCGGCCGCGGCTGCGCAGACTTGCGCCGCTTGTCCTTGCCGCTCCCCGCCAGCGAGAGAAAGCCCATGTGCGACGAGCCCGACATCGAATTGGTCCCGCGCCCCGAGAGTGTGCCATAGATTCGCGACTTGCGCCGCGCCAGCGGGTCGTCGGCCGCTGCAGGCTGCGCCGACAGCGCCGCCAGTGACGCCGCCGTGATCAGGTTCCCGCCCGACGTGTTCAGCCGCAGCACTGCGGGATCCGAGCCCTGCATCCCCCCGCCCAGCCCGTGCGGGTATGCAGGGATGAGGAGCTTTGATGAGACGGGCCCCGGCTCCAAGCTCGGCCGGAACGCATACGACGGCTGCGTCACCTGCAGACTCGAAGGCACCGCATCTACCAGCGCAGCAGTTGCGCTAGCGTTCAGCGTTCGCGTCAGATACCCGCGGACGTGCCGCTGAAGAATCCGCGCCGCGTCGCCGTCCGACATCATCCCCGGTAGAAAGTCATCCCCCACGGAAAACACCGACGAGTCGCCCGAGTCAGAGCCTTCCCCACTCCCGCGCTGGCGCGCTGTTACGTCCGACGATGACGAGCTCCTCGAGCTTGCGCTTGAGCTTGAACCCGAGCTCGAGCTCGAACTCGAGCTCCGGCCACGACCTGCCGACCGCCGCCTACTCCTCCTCCTGCCACCTCCCACCATCCCTTCTAAATCATCCGCCACAGCATCGCCCTCGACCACATTCGAGTACGATGAGTGCGATGAGAGCCACGAAGTCTCCGAGTCGACCGCTGACTGGCGCCGTTCAAAGGCGGCCATGGGCATGACTACAGGCTCCATCTCGTCCCCACCGTCGTCCACCGCTCCTCGCTTGCTCCCTCGCTTGCTCCCTCGTGACGCCCCGCATCCCATAGCAGGTCACGGTGGGGATGAGCCTCCGGGTGACTGCGTGGAGTGCTGTCTGTCTAGCCAGACGACGGCGGCAAGGACGGAAGACGCTTGCTGGCGGCGGCAGCTCTCGGTGCCCTGGGAGTCAAGGACGGGTCGGGGCAGCCCAAACTACATGCTGGTGGACCCAAGCTCGCGCAACGAGCTGATCGGGGCTGTACACCCTTCAATTGCCGTGATGTGTAACGCAGGTTCTCATGATCACATCAGCTCGCTACACCGCGTTCGGCTCTCCATCTCGTCTCGAAGCCGGTGGCGTCGCCACTGTTCGATCGAGGCCACGCGTCGGCCACATCACCGACGTGGCCCACTCTCAAGCCAGCCCAAGCGCATGCACTTCTCTTACTTCCGAGTACCGTAGAGTATGCCCAGAAGGGGCATGTGCCGGAGTACGCGCTCCAGGCTGGTGGTGCTCGTCCACCTGGCCTCTTTGCTTCTCCTCGCTGCGCTGTGGAAGCCGGCCTCAGCAGCGCCTGTCTTCGTAGGGAGCTCGGCCGACGCGGGTGTCAAGCTTGGCTCTGGCAGCTACTTGTTCAAGTTCATCACTGCCACAATCACTGAACTTCCAGATGTCTACCCGCTTGACGCCATCCATGCGTCGTTGGCGTCGACGGCGTATCTTGTCGATCCGCCGGACCACATCCACGTCGCCATCCGCTCGCTCCTGCTGCTGCCTCCACACCGGCTGGCCGACCTGCCGGAGACGGCTCAGGCTGAGCTAACTGCTGCGCTAGATGCAGCTTACAGCGTAGCAGATGCAGACGAGGTGGACAACATCACGATTTCGCGCCGCAACGATCCGGTAGCATTGGCCCGCTTTCCTGCTTGTGCTTCCATCGACCGACCGCTCCCGCTCAGTGCGCTCTGCTCCTCCTTTCGCATCACCGCCTCGGCTGGGTTTGGCCCCGGCCTCACAATGGTCTCGCACGAGCTCCAAGTCCGCTCTGCTGACCAATTGTGGCGCGAGATTTGGTACCCGCGCCTGATTGCCGACCCGCCGCCGGTCATCCACACCGACGTCATTCGCGCCTGGTTCCTGCCCAAGATCGCCCACCTCGACGAGGCTGTCTCGCACATGCTCCGCGAGTACTGCTTTGCGCCGTTGGTCCGGACCGTAACGGCAGCGTTGTCTTGGGTCTGGCAAGCGGCCAAAACGGCTCTGGTCTACGCGCTCCACGGCGCCGGTCTCAATCTTGTCACCGACATGCTTCGCGCTGTCCGATCTGGCGCTGTCCATGCCACGAGCTCGCTCGCTTCATCGCTCGGTACTAATCTCGATGCCATCAGCGCCTTCCTCTTCCATGCCTCGCCGCGCGACCTGGCCGGCGCTGCAGCCGTGCATCGCGGAGCACACGCCGCTGACGCTCTGCTTCGGAGACACGTGCTGGACTCGGCAACAGCCACCGCGCTTGCTATCCCGCTCACCCGTGGCATGGCGGCGCCGCAGCCGTTCTCGATTGACGTCTCGTGCTCCGCGCCCACTCACCTCGCTCTTGCCCTCGATGCTATCGCTCCCAGCGGCAACCTGGCCATCGCGCAGCATACTATTCGGCTGTCGGCGGCGAGCGAGTTGATGCTTCCGGTTGCGCTTGTAGCCTGGTTGCTCGCCTGGGCCGGCGCGCTCGTCGCCCCGAACATGTGGCTTGGCACCCTCTCGCCACGGCGCGTCCTCGCTGTCGTTGGTGCGCTGGTTGCCTGGCAGGGGCTTGAAGCGGCTGCCACTGTGGCGCCGCTCGCCTCGGTGGTTTATCGCCTGCTGGCGCTTGTGGGCAACTTGATTGTCTTTGGTACGCTTGGCTTTGGCTGGGCGTCGTGGCTCGGGCGAGCCGTGCGGGCCTCGCCCGGCGCAGTCGCTGCGCTCTTTGCTTTTTCGCTTGGCGCATATAGTGATGCAGCGCCCACTGTTGGCAGAGTGGTTGCCAGGCCGCTGCTGGCCTCGTTTTGGACCTTTTGCTGCGTCCTTGTCCCGCGTCGGCACGCTAGACCGGTCGCCGCGCGGCTGCTTTGCGTGCTCTCACTGGTCTACCGCGGCCGGGCTGCGCTTCCGCTGCCAACAGTCATTGGGGTAGACATTGTCGAGCGCGTTCTTCGTATTTCCTCTCTTGATCGCGGCATCATGGTCGGTGCGGCTGTGGGCACGCTGCTGAGCTCGATGCCGGCTGAAGCCCGTGGGCCCGCGGCTGGCCTTGGGCTCCTTTTCGGCGCAGCTTCCTGCCTTTTGCTCCGCCGACTCCGCGTGTTCGCGGCTGGCGCTGTGAGTGCGGGCCTTGCTCTGGCGTTTTGGACTATGCTGGGGCGGCTTGACCGCGCTGCCATCGGCCTGGGCCTGCCGGCAGTGGTTGCTCTTGGACTGGGGACGACGACGTTGTGGACATCACTTCAGTCGCTGGCGCCGCTGCTCGAGGCGCTTCCACGGGCGTGGTGGTCGCCTTTCGCCGAGCTGGGCAATGCACTGGAGCAGCTTGGCCCGCGGTATGACGAGACGTTTGGTCTGGCATGCATCCTGGGCGTGATGTACACACTGCTCTCGGGTGCGGCGTACTACTGGCTGTCGCAGACTGGAGCCTCAGCCGCGGTGATGTGGGCGCTGCCTGTGGCCATCGGCGGCTCGACAGCCATCTCGACAGTGTTGGCGTATGTGCTGCCGGGCCCGTCATCGCTCACCGCGTACTACGGATGGGAGGCGCCGCACGACCCTGTTCTGGGCCTGGGCCTGGGCCTGGTGCTCGAGCACATAGTTCTTGGCTCTGTGGCCTGGATTTCAACCGCGCCGATGCGAGGGCCTCTTTTCGTGGCCGCCCACTTTACTGCAGCCGCCATCTATGCCGTCGTGCTACTGCTCGTCATCTTTCACATCGCCACCTTTGTGCCGAGCTCGTGGCTTCGGCTGCACGAGCTGCACATGCGACTGCGCCAGCAGACACCACCAGGCACGCTGCGGATCACGATCCGGCGCGAGAACTTTGTGCGCGACACGCTGTTGGCCAACGTGGCCGCCGATCCGGCGGATGCGCTGATGAACACCCGAGTCACCTTTATCTCTGCCGGCGTCGTCGAGGCCGGCTCGGACGATGGCGGCCTGACCAAAGAGTGGCTCTCGCTGTTTGGCAAGGCACTGATTGGCGTGGCCAGTCACCCATCAATTGCGCCCATCGAGCCAGTCATTTTAGTGCCTGCCATCCGATCCGGCGACGCTGATGCGGTAGTCTACTCCCTCTCGAACCAGATCGAGACATATGAAGCCGACATTGCCGGCCGCATGCTCGTCCGCCTCCTGGCGGCCCGGATCTCGCTCGGCTACGAGATTTCGCCGGCGCTGACAAGGGCCATGCTTCGGCAACCGATTGTGGCGGCCGACTTGGCTGTGATCGACCCAGACTTGTACGCCGCCAAACGGGCGTTCAAGGCGCAAGTTGACACTGCGGCCAAAGAGCTGGACATTGAGCTTCGCTTTGTGTTTGAGTACCATGCACGCGAAAGTGGGGAACTCGTTGTGGTCCCGCTCCGCAAGCCAACGGGCGAGCTGTGCGATCCAGAAGAGGTAGTCAACTCGACCAACTACGACGAGTACATGGACGCTTTTGCGACAACGTACTTGACCGCAGGCATCGAAGAGCACCTGGCGGCGTTTGCGCGTGGCGTCCATACCGCAGTCCCGTCAAGGGCGCTCCGTGCAGCATTTGGGAGCGACGAGCGCGCGCTGGCGCATACCCTCTACGGACAGGTGGAACTGGACGTTGCCGAGTGGCAGGCCGCTAGTGTCGACGACATCGGCGATCCGCACTGGACATGGTTTTGGGACGCCGTGGTGCAGCTCTCTGCCGAACGGCGACTGCAGCTGTTGCTTGCGGTCACTGGGTGCGTGCTTCCTCCGGCAGGAGGTCTTGCCAATCTCAACCCGCCCATGGCTGTCTGCGTGGCGTTTAACGCGTCCAACGGCGCCCTCCCGACAGCCTCGGTCTGCACCAACAAGATCCGTCTGCCGCGGTCGTACGCATCCGCCGAGGAGACAGCGTCCAAGCTGAACCAGTTTCTGGACCAGCCCGTCGGCTTTGGACGTGCGTGAAGCAGCCGGTTACACCGCCCTGGATCGCCGGAACAGCTCCTCCAGGAAAGCCGTGGGGAGGAGGATGTTGACCAGCGTGGCGAGCTCGGCGTCCGAGTACTCGCACGGCGTCTTGCCGTCGACCCGCTTGTGGAACTCGGCCATGTTCGCCTTCTTTTCGGCCTTGATCCGTTGCTTGACGCCTTTATGGTGCTTGCTCTCCCTGACGTGTGCAACGAGATCGCGCTTCTTGTCGAACTCGTTGGGACAGGACAGGCATCTGTGCCGACACGAGGTGCGGAACCAACTGCGGACGATGCTGGTGACAAGGTTCTGACCGTACTTGTTGCTAAACCGCATGGCTTCCTGGATGGTAATCTCAAGACTGACCTTCTTCTCTAGCAAGTTCTTGACAAACTCCTTGACATCGGCAAGGCTAGGCTCGGCGGTGCACGCGTCGCTACAGCCAGCGACACCGTCAGCCGCATCAGCAGCGAGTGCATCCGCCGCGACGGTGCGAGGATTCGAGTTGTTCTTCATATCTGACAAGTGTGATGAGGAAGGTTGGGTAGAGGAGGGAGGCGGGGGATGGCTGCTTTTGCTGTGCCGTTGTTGTCGGTAAAAACAGATCTGCCCTCGGAGATCGTCCCTCGGTTGCTCCGGCTTCCTGCCAACACTTGCCTGTCACCCACATGTGCGACGCAGCGGAAGCAAGCAAGACCACCACCATCACCTGCCCGGTGGACAATGACCAGGTACGGGGACCACCAGCGTGTCTTCTACCTCTGTCCTGCCTCGTGCCTACGCACACTCACACATCACGTCCGCCACGCTGTGTAGGAGCTGTTGACGGTGACAGTCGACGCCGACGGCGTCATTACGGCCACATCAACGGAGAGCGTCCGAGTCGGGATGCTTGCAAAGGACGCACAGGCGATGGCAGAAGAGCCGGTGATGAGCAAGGCGCTGGCCAAGTGTTGCGTGCTGCTGGCGGTAGAGGCTGCGACCCAGTCGGGTGCCATTCCGCCGCACACCGCGAGTCCAGATGAGATCCAGGAGGTGGCCGAGGCGCTGGCAGCCCATGCCGAGGCCGCAACGGCACCGGCGGCTCGCACGGAGGGCAAGCACACGCCGCTGCATCTGGCGGCCGTGGGGCAGGCATCACAACTGGTGCAGATGCTGATGGATGCCGGTGCGACGATGGAAGGCGGGTTGATGGGGGAACCCGGCGGGACGCCGTTGACGTTCGCGCTGTTCTACGCTGCGACCGAGACGGCAGAGCTCCTGGCTGCCAGTATGAGCGACGACGAGCTTTCGCTGCGCGAGGCTGCTGGACTCGGCCGTGACGTGGAAAGCTACGATGTGGGGCGTGCGGTGGCGCGGGCGCGGTGCGGGTTTTACCGGCCGATCGAGGCGTTCCCAGAGTGGGCGCGAACGTACGAGGCTGCGGAGCTCGTGGGTGAGGCCTTGGCATGGGCGGCGCGGAACGGGCAGGTGAAGGCGATGGCGGAGTTGGTGAAGGTGCATGACGCGGATGTTGATGCTACCGTGTATCGCGGCACGCCGCTACTGTGGGCAGTATACGCCGACAACGCGGCTGCGGCCGAGTGGCTCATCGCTGCCGGGGCAGACGTGGATCGTGTGCACGACTTTGGTGGGCGTGAGCATGGCCAGCAGGCGACGGCACTCCATCTTGCAGGGCAGTTTGGCGCTGTCAAGTGCCTGCAAGTGCTGCTGGCAGCCGGGGCGGACGCGACGATCAAGGACGGCGGGTTTGGGGCGACTGCGCTTGGATGGGCGGAGCACTGCGGGAATGAGGAGGGGATGGCTGCGCTGCGGGGGCGAGAGTAAGCAAGCTTTACAATTACTCGGAGTCGATGTTGCTGGCGACAGCCATGGGCTGGACCGAAAGGCCATCGCCCAGGACCACGCGGCTGACCGTGCAGTCGGCCGAGCCTGTGAGGATGACAGTCTCGGAGAGCCAGGCGAGTGAAAAGACCTTGTCCGAGTGGACGGCGACCGAGTAGAGCGGGATGGAAGGCGAGCGGATGTCCCAGACGCGGACCTTTCCATCGTGGGCGGCAGTGGCAAAGTGGACGGCGGAGCCGGGCATCCACGCCACGGCCGGAACAAAGCCGCCGTGGCCCTTGAACTTGGCGGACGCCGGGTCCTGGGTGCGGAAGTCCCAGAGCCGAACAACGGGCCCGGCGTGGGCGGTGAGGGTGGCCGACGACGACGGCGCTGAGCAAAGGCCGATGTCGAGGACGGCGGTCTCTGTGGCGATGATGGTTGCGTTGGCGCCCGACGGCACGTCCCACACGCGCAGCGAGTGGTCCCACGACGCCGACAGCGCGTTGGTTCCGTCGCCAAAGTTCTCGAACAGAGCAGTGGTCACCGCGCCGGTGTGGCCCTCGAGAGTGATGAGCGGCGAGAGTGGAGCAGGGTCTGCGAGGCTGGCGGCGGCCTTGCCGGACTTTGCGCGCTTGGCGGGGCGGCCGTCGTCGTCGTCGCCGCCTGCGGTGGCGGACGAGGCGGCGGCCTCGACGGCGGCGGCGATAGACGCGTTGTAGACCTGGACCTTGCCGTCCCAGGCGCCGGTGATAAAGGTCATGCCCAGCGGGTGGAAGGCGACCGACTCGACGGTGTCGTCGTGGGCGCCGGTAGCCGACGGCAGGACGACGCCCTTGGACGTCGATCGGGCGTGCGGCTTGGTCGGGTCAAGCTCATACAGGGCGACGCCATGATCGCGACCGGCAGAGACAAGGGTGGAGCCCGAGACGGCGACTGCCTTGACGGCAGCCTTGTGGCCGGCCGCGATCAGCGGCGCGGCGTCCGAGGCGTACGCGCCGTCCTCGCGAAGCGGGCGGATGCGGACAAGGCCGTCGTACGAGGCCGAGGCAAGGAACGGCAGAGCATTGTTGGCGCGGGCCTTCCGGCCTCCCTTTCCCTTGACCTGGAAGGCCTTGGGCAGGAACTTGGTGGCGCCGATGGCGAGGTCTGCGATCCAATCGTCCTGGTTCTCAAGCACGTCGGGCTGGGGCCGGGCGAGCGCCTCGGTGTACTCGATGACCAGCACGGTCTCTGCCGAGAGTGTACCCTTGGACTCGAGCACGTACCCCTCCAGCGTGGTGCGGAGGAAAGTTCCATCAATCATAAAGTCGAACGGCACCGCAGGCTCTGCATACGTGGGGGTGGGGGGGAGGAGA